ACCTTTAGATCTGTTTATGCCCACAACTTAGCAGGGTGGTATTAAAACTACTTGTGTAGGAGTCTGGTGTGATAGAAGCTCTCAAGTGACCCGAATTCTAGTCTTTAAGATTTGTTTTACTCGACAAGTGGAGTTCCTGCTAGGTTGCTCTTCTGCATAAGAGAACAGTGTACACTGTGATGGAGGGAGATGGACTGTGAACATACATGGTAGACATAGCTCAGTTGGAGTGAGGTAATGAAAATGGTTGCCTTGTTTTCCCAGTCACCCAGGATACTTTGGGAAAGTTGGTATGAGGCATTACCACTTAAAAAGGAACCAGAGTTTCTGCCCGACTGTCAACCTTGATAAATTGTGGACCTTGGTTAGTGAGCAGACACGAGTAAATGCTGCGAAGAACAAGACAGGAGCTGCTCCTATCATTGATGTGGTGCGATCAGTAAGTGACTATTTTTGCCCTTTATGTGCCTTTCAAAATTCTGGATAATATACACCCAGCTACCTACTAGACAGTTCATTCAGTAGAAGTTCCACGGGTAGTTCACTTAACAGAACTGAACTCTTGTTCAGTTGTGATCATGTAAAACCTTTGAAGAGTGATACTCTCATTCATTTACTTCATTTTTCACTTGAATTTTTATCTGATCACATATCTTACTCCTACTGTCAATACCCTGGTTTCTCGTCCAAACTTAGGTAGTAATTTACGTTAGCTGGCTCTGATCTGTTTTACACAAGACTACAATGAGGCACAGCCCTTCACCCTTTATGTTTCTTAGAAAATACAGTCCTAATATGTTCAGTTGATATTTAAGGACAACATTATCTGAAGGGATCCCTCCCTGCCCCCCAGAAAGGCATTTTTATATATTATTAGGAGTCTGGTCCTTGCGTTCAACCTTATCCTCCATGGATATGGAGGTAGTCAGGACCCTGAGGAGACTTGCAGTAAAGTTAAAATTCCCTTCCTCGGCCTGTTCTTTGAGCACTTCTGATGACCCTGGCTTCTTGGAACATTATTGGAAATGTGATTTTTTTTTTTTTCCCTTTTTTGCTTATCAAGTGGTAAGTGAATAGGAAAATGGGGTTTGAGCTCTGCCCGAGACTAGAGTCACATCCCGACAGCTTTTGTCCTGGTGTGCTAGAGTCCTCGGATAGAACCTGCTGGTCTTGATTCACTGGCGAGGGCAATCAGTGCCTCCGTGAGTGCCCAGATCAGAAACATGCCTTCCCTGGCTCCTAGATGGAGTGGATTGACAGGAATCTTTCTTTATACTCTTGGTGACTGCCATGGTGCATTATAAACCCTTTTCTCTGTTCTTCTAGGGTTACTACAAAGTTCTGGGGAAAGGAAAGCTCCCAAAGCAGCCTGTCATCGTGAAGGCAAAATTCTTCAGCAGAAGAGCTGAGGAGAAGATTAAGGGTGTAGGTGGGGCTTGTGTCCTGGTGGCTTGAAGCCACATGCTGGGAAATTCATTAAATGTTAAGTGCTTTTCTCTTCTGGTTTGAGTGTAGGTTCTTTGGCATTTCTACCTCCCTACCTGTACAGAAACCCACCTAATAGATTCTAGGAGTACAGGTATTAGGACCTGGGTTCCTCTGCCAGCTCCCCTCAAAGTACAAAGAGCACTTACAGGCCTTGGCTGGTTACATACTTAACGAGGATACCTGTTGATAAGGTGACTTTATCTGATTGTTGAAAGATCTCTTAGAATTGTATGTTCTGAATTTACAGTGAGTAGGAGAATGTGCCCTTAACTGTTCCATGGAGCTCAGGGAGCAGAAACTCAGTTTAGATGTGGAAACGTTCTTTTTTTTTTTTTTTTTAATTTTTATTTATTCATTTGGCTGTGTGGGGTCTTATTTGGGGCACGTGGGACCTTGGCTGTATCACGTGGGATCTTCTGTTGCAGCACATGAGCTTAGCTGCCCTAAGGCATGTGGGATCTTAGTTCCGTGACCAGGGATCAAACCTGCATCCTCTTCATTGCAAAGCAGATTCTTAACCACTGGACCAGCAGGGAAGTCCCTAGATGTGGAAACGTTCTTTACGTACAAGATCTCTGGGTCACATTGGAAATGTGGACAGTGATGGGAGTGACTCTTGGGAACTTATTTTCTCCACCTGACTTATTTATTTCAACCCAAATTATTGGAATTGGGGCAACATGCCAGGGCTTTTACAAATAGAGTGGTTTGTGTATGTATATGCTCAGTCGTGTCCCACATTTAGCGATCCCATGGACTGTGGCCCTCCTCTGTCTGGAATTTTCCAGGCAAGAATGCTGGAGTGGGTTGCCAGTTCCTACTCAGGAGATCTGTACAATGGAGGGAAGTTAACCATGTCTCTTGCATTGGCAGGTGGATTCTTATACCACTGCGCCACTTGGGAACCCCATCCATGGTTTGGATTCTAGAAATCAGTTGTCAGAACTCAAGGATCCTTGTGCATAGGAATCTTCATGTTTAAAGAGAAACATCATGAAATGCTAATGATTTTCCTTCTAGTTTGAAGTGTATCTTGTAGAGAAATTAGGGGGATGCTAAAGGGCTTGCCTGGTGGGTCAGACAGTCTGACTGCAATACAGGAGACCAGGTTTGATCCCTGGGTTGGGAAGATCCCTGTAGGAGGAAATGGCACCTCACTCCAGTATCTTGTCTGGAGAATCCCACAGACAGAGGAGCCTGGAGGGCTACAGTCCATAGGATCACAAAGTCAGACACGCCTGAGCAACTAACACTTCAGACCAGAAACCAGAATCAGGTTTTCTAGAGTTTGTACCTCCTGAAAAACCAAGATGACCAATGCTTGTGTGCTGACAGGACCCTCTTAATATTATAGTACATTATAATTTGCTATAGTTTGACTTGTTTCCCAAGATTTTGACGGTGTTTTTGACCCATCATAAAACTTGCGGGGTAGAAACGTGACCAATCGAATAGTTAGAATGGCACTTAAACTTAACTAAAACTGTACTTGCAGGTTTAGTCTGGTAGAGGGTTCCTTCTGTATTGCTCTGTGGGGTCATAAACGGACTGGGAACCATGACTTTCTATGGGACTAGTTTGTCATGACAGCCTTTACAGGATATTGGGGATGATCGAGTGTAAAGAAGCACAGTGGAAGAAATGTGATTGATTTATATAATGGAGAGTTAATGGTCAGGAAGGCACTTGGATAAGCTAGTAACTTACTGACATATATTGGTACTGATGGGGAAAGGTAAAAGTGGGTTTTAATGTCTTTTGGAGGACTTAAAATATGGAAACTGATTTTTACTAGACACTAAAGGTATAGAAAAGTGCAAGTAACAGTATCTTAAGATTCAGGCTGGATTTGAAATTTGGATCTAAACTTAATAGCTGTGTGACTTCTTATCTTAAAGGGTACTGAGCACACATGCACCTACCTTGAGTATTGTGTGGATTGAGTAAAATGGAAAGCATTTACTGAACCTCTGTGCTTAGCTCTTGGTAAGGAGCATATAAGTGAACTGTTACTGTCACCCAAGTGACAAGTCAGTTAACCTTGATGTGATTCAGTTGGTGGGAAAGTGATCTAAACCCTGGGAAGAGCAAATGTGCATTTAGGAAACCTAGTTTGGGAAGGTTAGGAAAGTTGGGAGGTGCTGTGTGGGAGATGAGCGAGCCTGGAGCGAACAGGTACACTGGCCAGGCTGTGACTTAGGTTGAGGGGTATAGTGGAAGGTAGGAGGCAGGACCATGAGAATGGAAGACAAGTAGGATTCAGAAGACATAAGGAGATAGATAAGACTTGTGACTGATAGGGGTGGGGCTGGCAGCAAAATACGGTTTGGGGAGGACAGATTTGTCAGTCTCTTTATGGCTAGCTTTCCCAGTTTCATTGCTAGCATCTTACAGCATAACTGTCTTGAAACTAGGTGGGATCATGCTCATCCCAGTCCTGTATGGAGGTGCTCCTGTTGGATATGCTAAATATGAGAGGAGTACAGCCATTCTTAATAGGGTTTCTCAAATACCATGCCACCCCATCTCCAGGCCTGGAGAATACAGTTGATGATCAGTGTGAGCTGCTGTGTGCATCTTGCTCACCATTGTCTATAGTTACAGTAACCAAGCAGGCCCTCTGATTACTCCCAGGTAGTAATACTGCCAAAGGAAGTTGTGTGACTGGTGAAAAAACAAACATGCCCCAAGATAATGAAGAGCGACCTCGTGCTTTCTGCAAGGAGATCTAACCAGTCAATCCTAAAGAAAATCGGTCCTGAAAATTCATTGGAAGGACTGATGCTGAGGCTGAAACTCCAACCACCTGATGCGAAGAATCGACTCATTGGGAGAGACCCTGATGCTGGGAGAGACTGAAGGCAGGAGAAGGGAGGACAGAGAATGAGATGGCTGGATGGCATTACCGACTCGATGGACATGAGTTTGGGTAGGCTCTGGGAGTCGGTGATGTGTCCAACTCCAGGGAATGCTGGCATGCTGCAGTCCATGGGGTTGCAGAGTCCAACACGACTGAGCGCTCTCACCTAGAACGACCACTTAGCTTGTTGTATAGCACCAAAGGCAAATCGTTATGTTTTGATTTTAAAGTGAAAGGTGCCAAAACATACAAAATATAGCCAGTGCATAGGAGAAGTTCCTGGAGAAGCCTGCCAAACTTGCATTAGCCTGTCCCATAGGCACAGGGCCATACTGCCACTACCTCCAGTGGCCACAAGGTGCACACTGATGAAGTTGTAATATTCGGGGAGCAGAGCTTTTTAATTAGATATCCCCTGAATTCGGTGGTCCTCCACCTTTTGCCCTTTAAAATAATTGTGGGAAATGTTACATTAACAGCTAAATATACCATAATTTGTAAAAGTCCTCATCAAAACCTTAGGATTTAAATTCTCAATTCAAGTAAACATTGCTACCAGCCCAGTAGCAGCCAGCCCATGGGATGAAAACCAACCAAAGGCGTGCACCACGGTCGGGGCATACCGCTGTTCTGGCAACGAGCCAGGCAGAGCTTAGTGCTCCAGCGGCGGAGATCCGAGCCGCTTGCGCGGGGTGGGAGATTCTGGTTCCGGCATCACTTTGACCTCCCGCACCGTGGCCGCAAGTACGTCCATAGTCGGTTCCACCATTTCCGGCAGTGGGCGGGGCCGGCCTGTGGCGCTCGGGCTAGGCGGGAGGTTTAATTCGACACAGCACGACGTGCGGCGTGGGGTCAAAGCTGAGTTCATCTCCCTCGCTGCACTCCGGTCCCGCTTTGACCATGCAAAACAGAACTGTAGCCTTTCTGTTCGCCTCCAAGATGAGAATTCCAGATTTTTTTTTAGAATTAAGTCTTTAAAAAGTAGCCCAGCCTTCTCATTTCAACACCGTTCACCAAAGCATGTATGGTAACTTACTGAAAAGAGCATTTAGAAAGATTATTGTAATAGTGCAACCTGCCCTGCTCTCAAAGTTACCTGATTACAGGAGAAAACTCGGGGGCCTTTCTTAACTCCAGAATGGAGGTGGGCTGACAGTTCGACTTCTGGTAGAGGAGGCAGCATTGCCCTGCCCCTGAGCAATCTCCCAGAAAGGCACTGAGGACACTTGTTTTCAGTAGTGGTGATACCATCCTCTACAGGGGCATTTTGTAAATGTATAGGAGCATTTGTGGTCACAATCATGGAAAGGAAGCAAAGATGCTTGATGTCATGCGATGTATAGGTTGATTCAAAACACAAAGAAAATCTAGCTTCAGTTCAGTCACTCAGTCGTGTCTGACTCTTTGCAACCCCATGAATCGCAGCACGCCAGGCCTCCCTGTCCATCACCTACTCCTGGAGTTCACTCAGACTCATGCCCATCGAGTCAGTGATGCCAACCAGCCATCTCATCCTCTGTCGTCCCCTTCTCCTGCCCCCAATCTCTCCCAGCATCACGGTCTTTTCCAGTGAGTCAACACTTTGCATGAGGTGGCCGAAGTATTGGAGTTTCAGCTTCAGCATCAGTCCTTCCAATGAACACCCAGGACTGATCACCTTTAGGATGGACTGGTTGGATCTCCTTGCAGTCTAAGGGACTCTCAAGAGTCTTCAACACCACAGTTCAAAAGTATCAATTCTTCTGTGCTCAGCTTTCTTTATAGTCCAACTCTCACATCCATACATGACCACTGGAAAAACCATAGCCCCCACCTAATTTCATTTCACACAATCAAAAAGATGTTTGTTTTTGTTTTTTGTGGTTTTCACACACTTAGCAGTTTTTTGGGATTCCGACTATTATTTAAATCCGGGAAACTCATAGTATGTTTGGTTCAGAATATTGCCCCAAACTGTTCATTTCAGAAAACTCTTACCAGTAGTTAACACATACTTACTAGTATCTGAGCTGCTAATTCAGCACTTTCTGCATGGGTAGCTGTTGCATTCACAGCAATTCTATGTACAGGTGTAAGCATCTGACTTCATTATACCGTCTAATATGGTTGTGCCCAAGCATTTACATATGTAAATACATATTATTTTATGACAAAATAACTTTCCTTTTATTTCTCCCCTTTTATATTACAGTTAAGACTATATTACAGTTAAGATGTTTAGGTAGGTTATATTATCTATGGATTTCATTTCAGGATAGTAATGGGGGGAGTTACAGTATTTGCTATAGAAAAGAAGTATTGATCTGCTAGGATTGAGAACCATCAGTTTAGAGGTCCAGAGATCATGTGAAAACAACCTGGAAAGAAACCCAAAACACTTTTTGTCACCCCCAGACCAGGCCCCCCCAGACACACCCTCCTCTACCTTCTAGATGAGACCTCTGTGCCTTGCCCATAGCAGTCACTGTATTAGGCCCTTGCAGTCCATTCCAAGCCATTGTGTGCCAGTATCAGTTCTCCAGATTGGGATGATAGCTGTGGCCATGGGGTGAGGGGGACCCCTAAGGTTAAAATAACACTATTTTAAAGCTACATAAAAGGTACAGGTTTTAAGAAAGTAATTTACACCTATGTATCTTGTGATCTAATGACATATCTGAGGATTCTTTGGAGACATAAAAAAGAGAGGGAGAGGAAAGGGGGAAGAAATAGGACCTTTGGAAACTATTATTTTATTAAGGACTCCACTTCTGTGATTCATGAAACTGAGTTAAAAGTGGCAAGTTCTAGAGATAACAACACCCTACTCTGGACTTTCTGGTTATAGCCACTATCTCCTCTTTTTACCTCACCTGTAAAGCCAGCTTCATGAGGCCTCAGTGAGTGTGCCCTCCTATTCTTGGAAGATGCCAAAGCCAACTATGTAAGATGCTTTTTCAGAGGAGACCAATCTATCTTCCTAAAAGACAAAACCTCTGCTTTATAAGGCAGACAGCAACCCCAAACCACACACAGACTGGGACCTGTGCAGGTGTCACTGGAGATGGGGAAAAGGAGGAAAGGGGACTCCAGAAGGTATGGTCTCCTGTTTTAACAAGTAGGATGGAGTGGAAGGACAGGAAAACTATGGTTCAAATCCTGCCAGACCAAAAGCCAATACCAATGAAGAGAGTTCCAGCTTATTGCCCCATCCTGGAAATTTTCAAGGTCTTGTCTCTGTGAAGGCCTTGGGTGGACAGAAAGCCTAAACCACCCATATTCCCCACCTTACTTCCCTCCTTGCTTTTCCAAAGAATATGGCAAAATTTTCTGCATGTACACCTCTAAGAGTTCCAATGGAAAAAAACTTCACAGTGTGACATGGAAGAGCCATAAACTGGGCCTGAGCTATGAGCAAGCCCTGGGTTGTCTTTAGCTGGGCTTGACTCTACCAATGTTAGGGTACCCAGTAATGTCATAAGGGCTTCATACTGAATAGGAAAATGATAAGATTAACCTAACAGGGGAGCCAAGAGGCAATAAGCATTCTTTCCATCAGTGGGAATACACGGAATCTGAACACTTGGCTATTGGAAAGGGAAGCTAAGCTAGAACAATAATTAGGCATCTTCTGTCAAGACCAGTCATCACCAACTCGATGGACATAAGTTTGAGCAAGCTCTGGGAGTTGGTGATGGACAGGGAAGCCTGGTGTGCTGCAATCCATGGGGTTGCAAAGAGTCGAACACGACTGAGTCACTGAAATGAACTGAAGACCAGTCATATGGGGCTTCCCAGGTGGCGCTAGTGGTGAAGTCACTAGTGGTCTACCCAGTGCAGGAGACGCAAGAGATGAGTTTGATCCCTGGGTCAGGAAGATCCCCTGGAGGAGGAAATGGCAACCTGCTCTAGTATTTTTACCTGGAAAAGTCCATGGACAGAGGAGCCTGGAGGGCTACAGTCCATGAGGCCGCAAAGAGTCAGACACAACTGAGTGTGTGCACACAAGACCAGCCGTACAGCTCAGGCCAGAGAACTCAATTTCAGGGGAGGTCAGTGACCCACACGAAAGCTAAACTCTTAATCAAGTACTCAGTTCCCTGCATGAAGGTGTTTCATCCTGCCTCAGCCCATTCCCCTGGAGAGAGAACTCTAGATAATGAAGCCAAGAAACACATGGGGCTCTGGGCCCAAACAACTATACACTGTTTATTGAGAACACCCGTAGATGGTGGGAAGGAGGGATGCCCTGTACCGCATCACGGCCACCGCTGACTGGGAGCTGGGCCTGGAGGACACTAGCAGAGCTGGAGGGTGGGCTTCCCATGACTCACTGACCATCACAAAGGTGGGAGAAAGAAGAGAAGGCCAGGCCCGAGAGCCTGGTACCATGCTGCAAATGGGGGTTGATTGGCCTTTGCCTTTCAAAACCAGACGGTTAGGGGAGGGAGACTACTAGAAAAAAATAGAAACTCTAAGATTTAAAAAAAAAAAAAAAGTCTCATACATGACAAGACAGCATGTGCTCTCCAGGGCCCGAGACTGGCAGCAGGGGCCGCAGGCAGGCAGGCAGGCAGGCCAGGAGCCTCCAGGGGAAGATCAGTGGTTCGGCTGAGACAGTCAGCTGCACATAATTGGCCAGTCACCAGCACCCAGCAAAACTTCATCCATGCTCGGGCAGGGCAGGAAAGCACCCGGCCCCTTGGGAATATACAAATATTTACCAGATTCTCTTTGCTTGTTACAAAAACATAAGAAAGCTTACAGCAGATTATTTACAAACAGTATCCTGGGATGTCGTGAAGGCAGAGGTGGGCTGGCTTGGAGGGTGGGGTCTGTGGAGGCAGAGCAGCCACAGCAGCCCAAAGGGTCCTAGGCTGGGCCCCCTCCCCAGGCTCTGCAAGGCACTGGACTCTGTCTGGGGAAGGGGCTTAATTCTTCTTGTGGAGGAACTTCATTTTGTTGCCTGTGGGCCAGAGAGGGTGAGAGTGAGAATGTTTCAGTATCATCGCTTCCAATAGTCCTAACTCTGAGTGAGAGAGAAGGATTAGAAAGGCTGGATTGCAGCTAGACTAGGATAGTGAAAACACTCTAGAGCTCTAATTAGGCTCTGGTATTAATCATGAACGGCCTTGGGCAAGCCATTTAACTTCTTTGGTCTCAATTTTCCTTTAAAGTGAGACAGGCTATGATTCTATGGTTCAGTTGGCTGAGCTCTTTGAAGGAAGGGGAGGTTTTTCAGAGAAGGACACTCTGCTATTTCTTAGTAGACCCTCCCTTTATAGCCATGAGGAACAGTCACTGATTCTAACGACCCTCATGTTCACTCAGGAAGGAGTGCACCCCAAAGACCCGATTGAGGTGAAGATCTGTCAGATTTCCTGTTCTGTCTAGAGCCCTAATATAAATTCCCATTGCCGCTGGTTTATTTAGAGTAGTTTGGAGTACAGATCCCCCAGCCACCCCACCCTCTCCTTGCTGAACCTGTCTCATCAGTGACAAGGCTGCTTACCCAAACCACGGAGAAACTTGTTCATTCCACTCTGCTCGGTGTCTGGGAGTTCCTCTAAATACTGCTCCACCCGCTGCTCAAAGAGGCCTGGGAAAGAGGAGGAACGGGGAAGAGAACAGTCCTTGGAGGAAGGGAAGGGAAGGCCCCTGTTGAGTGGACCAAAGGGAATAGATCCCAAAAAGGGGGGGAGCCAAAGATCTGGGATTCTAACTTATAGGAGTATCTGTCAGAATCCAGACCGGCTCATCAAAACTATTATTAATGACACCTCACTGGTGTTCACTGCTGATGGCCTGAGCTGCATTATGGTGAGGATGCAACGTGGTATCAGAGCCGCCCCCAAGTGGGCATCTTCTCCAGCTCCTTTTAGACACTCTTATCATGTTGTTTCAAAAGGTTACACTAAAGGGACAGTACTGGTGGACAGAAGACGCAACAATCCTGAGGTTAGAAAGGTCTTGATGAGAAGAAAAAGCTCTAGAGTGAGCAGAGCTGATGAAATAACAGAGATAACCTTTGTGCTCTGAGTGCAGACTGCCACCAACTTAAGACAGAGAGCTGGCTCAGTTCTCTTCAACCCTGGATTCTCAGGACTCCCTAAATGGCACAATCTGGCCTTTTTCTCTAAATAAGGACATGTGAAGAGGGGCAAAGTGGAGATAAGCCCCACTCTTTTGCCACAGGGCTCCAGCCTGTGCCCAGTCTAGTAAAGGCACTTTCTGGGGCAGAGGAGAAAGCGCCCTTGGCAGTCCCTCTTAGAAGAAAAGGGATATTAGGAGGCCTGCCGTGGCTGATACTGATGGAGGCTCACTGTGCCTGGCTACTCAGCCTGCTGGTAGCAGAAAAGCCGGAGGAGGAGACCTGATACCCCTCAGAACCCCCCACCCCAGGCTCTTCTGGCCTTACCCTTTGCCCGACACTTTCTCAGCTCCCTGTCTTGAATGAAGCCAGCAAACATCTGAGACTCCATAAAAACTTCAAGAAAACGGCGGATGCTTTTGGAGGCCACAGACTTGCGGAAAGCCTCCCGCTGAAAGGCCCTCTCCCCCTTCTCGCTCTGGGTCAGGAAGAGGGAGTAATGCCCAACAGTCTCCACAAAGAACCGGATAAACACCTCCGACACCAGCCCATTGAGGGTATTACATTCTGGAAAAGAAAAGAAAACCTTTGAGGTTCAGGTCCAGAGCCTGCAACCGCAGCCTCCAGGGGATCTTGTCTCCATCTCCTCAACTAAACTGCAGCCAGAACCACTCATCTGTTCTTGGAACTCTTAGCTCTTGTGCTCCCAGGCTTGTAACTAGCTCATGAGCCAGGAGGTTGGAAACTGTGCTCTGAACATGGAAGCTGGCAGATACTTGCTGAATGAGTGAGAATGGAAATCAGAGACCAGAAAGCCCCACTCCCCCGCTACACCTCTTGCCCTCTGGTGGTTTCCCTGGCTTCACAGGAAGAAGAAGTTCCTCCACCTCCTGCAGTGGCTCAAGGCAAGGCCTGAGACAGAGGAATAACTAGCATCCTATCAGCAAGAAGAGTCTTTGTGGTTGCCAGTTGTCTTTGGGTTTTTCTTCCCAAACTTCCTGAGACAAAGAAGAATTAAAGGCAAGAGGGGAGCTTGGTAGCCTGGGCCACCCTAGAAGCAGTCTTGATGTTATCTAAGTTTCTGAACTCCTTCTGATAAAATACTATACTATTCCTCTCCCCTCACACCCAACCAAGCCATAACTCCCTGAACCACACTGGGAGTTGTTGTTGTTCAGTTGCAAAGTCGTGTCCGACTCTTTGCAACCCCATGAACTGAGCATACCAGGCTTCCCTGTCTTTCACTATCTCCCAGAGTTTGCTCAAACTCATGTCCATCAATTCGGTGATACCATCCAACCATCTCATTCTCTGTCATCCCCTTCTCCTCCTGCCCTCAATCTTTCCCAGCATCGGGGTCTTTTCCAATGAGTCGGCTCTTCTCATCAGGTGGTCAAAGTACTGAAGCTTCAGCATCAGCATCAGTCTTTCCAATGAGTATTCAGGGTTTACTTCCCTTAGGATTGACTGGTTTGATCTCCTTGCTGTCCAAGGGACTCTCAAGAGTCTTCTCCAACACAACAGTTTGAAAGCATCAATTGTTCAGTGCTCAGCCTTCTTCATGGTCCAACTCTCATACATCCACACATGACTACTGGAAGAACCATAGCTTGGACTATATGGACTTTTGTCAGCAAAGGAGTAGGGCTAGAGAATTGCAGGCTAACGTGAGACCAAGGTCCTATATCTGAGTTTCATCAGCCAGGTGGGTCTGGTACACAGAAGCACGGTCCAGGCCCCATGAGGCCCAGGCGCAGAGTGGAGCGAGTCTAGGACTAGCTCATGAACCAGGAGGTTGGAAATTGTGCTCTCAACATGGAAGCTAGCAGATAATTGTTGGATGAATGAAAATGGAAATCAAAGACCAGAGCACCACTCCCCCCAGCCACTGCATGGGGCAGGCCTCACTCACCATCATCGGAGTCGCTGTCTGAGTCCTGGGAGATCAGTTCGTTCTTCCTCTCTAGAGCCTGCTCCAGCGCTGCCTGTAACTTCCTAGGTAACAACGTGTCCTCATCGTCCATCTGCAGGAGAAGGGAACCACACAGTGAGCACTTACTTTGTGCCAGTGCTGTCTGAAGAGCTTGAATATATAAGCTTGATTATATAAATATAATCTCATTTCATCTTGCCAATAACCCTGATAATTTTACCAACCTCATTTCTTTAAAGATTTTTTTTTTGATGTGGACCATTTTTAAAGTCTTTATTGAATTTGTTACAATATTGCATGCAAGCTAAGTCCCTTTCATCTTTTATTTTTAAATTTTTATTTATTTATTCATTGGCTGTGCTGGGTCTTTGGGGCTCTGTCTCGCTGAGAGTGGGGGCTACTCTCCAGTTGTGGTGCATGGGCTTCGCATGTGGTGGCTTCTCTTGTTGCAGAGCACAGGCTCTAGGGCACTTGAGCTTCCGTAGTTGTAGCACGTGGGCTCAATCGTTGCATCCCTCAGGCACCAGAGCAAGGGTTCATTTGTAGCAGACAGGCAAAGCTGCCTCCAAGCATGTGGGATCTTCCCGACCCAGAGATCAAACCCGTGTCCCCTGCATTAGCAGGCAGATTTTTAACCACTGGACCATGAGGGAAGCCCTCACTTCAGTCTTGTCTGACTAGGTGACCTTATGGACTATAGCCCACCAGGCTACTCTGTCTGTGGGATTCCCCAGGCAAGAATACTGGAGTGAATTGCCATGCCCTCCTCCAGGGGATCTTTCCGACCCAGGGACCAAACCTGCGTCTCTTACATCTCCTGCATTGGCAAGTGAGTTCTTTACCACAAGCACCACCTGGAAAGCCGTGTTACAATATTGCTTCTATTTTATGTTTGGCTTTTTGGCCACAAGGCATGTGAGATCTTAGCTCCCCATCCAGGGATCAAACCCACACCTCCTGCCTTGGAAGGTGAGGTCTTAACACTGGAGCACCAGGAAAAGTCCCTACCAACTTCATTTTAAGAAGAGAAACTAAGGCATAGAGAGAGGTTAAGAAACTTGCCCAGGGTCACAAAAATAAGAAGTGTGGAGCAGGTGGCATTCACTGCCCAGGACCAATAGGGGTTCCCACGCCAGCACCACAATGAAGTCTTCCCAATACCTCCATCTTTGGCATCAGTTGGGAAGCAGGGTTGACTGTGGGGCAGGGAAATCACATGTCTCAGGCACAAGGTTAGGCTGCCATGCCTGTCTCTATATTCTGATTGAGTGCCCATATCTTGACGCTTGGTATCCAAGAGATAGAGCTCTGCCAGTGGTATGTGTAACAGACTACATTCCCAAAGTCTACGGCATTAGATTATGTTCCTTTATACAGGCCCAGGAGAATTTCTACCACTCACAGAGACTTTTTGAAGTTGACAGCAATCACAAATTTTTACATTCCACCACATTCTGTGCACCATGGATAATCCTCCAGCAACTTTTCAACTGTCTGCTCTGTGAACGTGGAACCCAGAGCTCAGCAGTCAGCCGTGAGGGTGGAGTATGTGTGTGACAGTGCTAGGTACTCAGTATCAAACAAGCACCACCCTGGGGCAGGCCATGCAACGTCCCGCTCTTACCTGTCGGATGAATCGGTCAGACCCCAGATTCACCATCAGTGCCTGAGAAAGAGAGTCATGAAGGGCAGTGATTTAGGATATGAATCCCTGCAATGCCCTGCGCAGACCTCCTGGATTCCCAGGGTCAGATAACAGGAAGAACTCCAGCCAGAGAGAGGCCTCCCAGGGAGCAAGGAGAAGAGCTGGAGACACAAACAAGATCCCAGCAGCCTCCCCCAACCCCTTCCCCTTCTGCCCTTCCCTCCTGGGGGATTCCGTTCCTTCTGGCCCATCCTCCCCACAGCTGGTTCCCCAGGTGGCCCACCTCTTCCACAGGCAGCTCCTTCAGTTTGGGGAGGGAGCTGGAGAGCAGGCCAACCAGGAAAGGGGTGGGACAGCAGACAATGTCGATCATGGAGGCCGGGAGGACAGGAATGAAGGTGTGCTGCCAGGAGAAGGGGTAGAGCAAGGCCACCACCGCATGGGAGCAGCTGGACAGGGTACTGGTAGACAGACAGACAGACAAACATTGAGCCCAGGCCCAACCTTCAGGGAAGGGGAGTCAGTGTCTGCTGGGCTAGGCTCATGACCTCGTTTCATGTTAAACCTCCCAGGGCAACAAAGACGCTAAGGAGGTTCAGCCTGGGTCTGACCTTGCAGACTGGTGAAGCCCCCACATCCCCTCTGCTCAGGGCCACAGGGCCAGCGGTGGTGCCCTCCTTGGTGGCTATACCTAGAACAGCCGTGAAGGTACATAGCTACACCTGAACACACACACACACCCCCAAGGGCCTCCCAAATGCATAGGTGGGCCTGACCTAGTTTGGGAGGATCAGCTCAGGCCAGGGAATACAAAGGCAAGCTGAGCAAGAGTGATCACAAATTCATAGTGTGTGAGAGCTGGAGGGTCCTACAGAGGTCATCTTATCAAGTCCACATTTTACAGCTGGACTCACTGATAACCCAGGGTCAGTCTGGTCAGAAGTGGCAGATGTGGGACACGGCCAGTTTTCCTGCCTCCCAGCCCAGTGTTACGTCTACCGTTCCCTACTCCCCTAAATGGAGAAAGCGGGCTGATCGAGTGAGGCTGGCACCATTCTCACCCACTTCCGTCTTTCCTCTCAGGTTCCAAAAAAATAACAGACTTCTCAGTGGGTCAGCCCTCTCTTGGCCTAGAGGGGACTCCAGGCCTCTAGCACCGTATCACAGGGCTGGCTGTCCAAGCAGAACGACCAATGGAAGACCAGAAGGAGAATCTCCCCAGGGCTAGCCAGAAGGCACAGAAGTGAGTGCTGAGAGCTAGTATGGGTCACCAGTCACCACGGAAGACACACCTGGGCTGAACCATCTACCTGTCAGGAGAGGAGTCAAGAACCTGCCCCTCAGGGCCATATCACAAATGAGACAGTGGCCCAGAGTCATTCTTGAGCCTGCCTTTCCCACCCTGTCTCTCTGCATCTATTGGTCCACCTACTAACTATGAAGGCCCTGGGCTCTACCTGATAGGCTCCAAAGGGATTATCATCCTTTCATGACTAATGACCACCAGTCAGAGAACATGGTTCCAATCCATGACAGAAACAAACCCTCTTTTCTAGAAGGACCTCTGGATGTTCACAAGTTTTTTGGCAGCCAGTGCCTTGCTTGGCTGTCCTGCCACCCCAGGGACAACCAAAATACTGCTGGGTCCTGAGGCAGAGACACAGGTATCCTGGCCCTGAGAGCCCTTTGCCTGGGGACAGCACACCCCAAACCCCAAGGGGAGCCACCTGAAAAAGATCTAGAAGAGGGCCATCTCAGGATCAAAGGAAACACTGACCTCCACAATGCCTTCCAACGGGCCTGGGACTTGGGAGGCAGAAGGCTTGTACAACCCTTAGGGTTGATCACTGCAGAGCTTGTGTGTATGCATGTGCACGCACACACACACACACACACACACACACCCCCTCCCAGTAACACAGACATCAGAACTAGGCCAGAGGGACTAAGCACTTGTGGACAACCTAAGCTGTGAGCAACGGAACGAGAACTGGCTGGACTCCAGCCCTGTGTGCCCTCACTGGGCTGCCTACTCTGCCCTCTCCAGTCAGAGGCAGACCCCGAGCAGGGAGGGCATCTTTTCTAGACCCAGGATTGGCAGGACTTGAACGCCAAGCCAGGCCAGAACAGGACCCTGGGGTATTTTCCTCCAGGAACAGTCCAGGAATGTGTTCAGAGGCAGCTGCAGCCACAGGAAACAATCGCTGTATTCACAGCCCTGCAGGAGACAGGCTAGGTGTGGGGGGGTGGGGTGGCAAAGAGGAGGCTCTGCCCTTGGTGAAGGAGTGAAACCTTCAGGGAGAGAAGCCTCAGGGCCCAGGCTCTGCTAGGGGCATCAAGGTCTGATCACGCCAGAGCCTCACAGCTGGGGAGCCAGGGCTCTGCTGGCAGACAGTGAACACGGATGGCAGAGAGGCCCCAGGGAGCTGCCATAACTGGCTAGCTCCAGCAGCCAGCTCGATCCCCTCACAAGGCCTAAGGGACCCGCGACATGCACTGTGCTGTACTGAAAGAGCTGTGATGGAAAGCGGGGTTCGGGGTGGGGGGAGGCAGTCTTCATTTCTAAACCTGACTGTCTCTGGAAAAGCCAGAAGCTCTGGTTTTTCTTCTTCCTCACTTCTCCTGGGCTGAGGGTGGGCCCAAGTTCCTGCCCCAACACCCTATGAAAGCATTTGGGAGTCCATTTCTCCTGCTTCCTTCATGACCTCCTCACACACACAAAAGAAAGTGCCCAGGGATCCTGGGCTTATTGGGGGAAAACCAGGAGGAAGAGTTTTCTGCCCCACATATCAGCACCTAGCGTATGTTCTGGCACATAGCAGATAGCTTAATAAATACTCTAAAAGACTAAATTAATCCACCACTCTAAAGAAACTACTGCCCCCCTGTGATGACAAAAAAAATACACAACACGTTGCTGAGATCTCCTCCTCTCCCTGCCTGTCCCATCCACTATATATACACTCTTTGCTGTGGTCTGAATGTCTGTGTCCCCTCAAACACTCAGTGATATCTGAGGTTCTTAGGTCATGAGAGTGTAGCCCTCATGAATGGGATCAGTGCTCTTACAAAAAAGACCCCTCAGAGATCCCTCACCCCCTACTTTCTGCCATGTGAGGACACAATGTGAAGCCAGCAGCTATGAACTAGGGAGGGGGCCCTGACCACAATGTGACCATGCCGGCGCCTGGATCTTGGACTTTCAGCCTCCAGAACCGCAAGAAATAAATTTCTGTTGTTTATAAGCTACCTAGCCTGTGGTATTCTGTTTATAGCAGCCCAAATGGACTGAGATGATCTTTAAAGAAAAACAAAACAAAACCCACCTTGGCTGCCTAGAAGGACTCAGCTTCTACCAGAACACCTCACATCCAGTGACATTTCCTCCATCCCCTCCCTGACCACAACCAGATCTTGGCATCTGGAATTCCTCTGCCTCCAAAACCATAAATGCCAACACGTCAGACCAAGACGTGTGATTTATTCAGCTCTTTTCTTCTTCTTCTTCAACCAGCTCCCCTGCCTCAGTGGCAGCTCCGGTCCCCTGGACTTCTCCTGCCCTTTCCTAGGCTGGCCAGCCTCCCTACAAGCACTCTCCTCTCCAGCACCCTCAAGGCCCTCACCTCGTCCTTCTCAGCAAATCGCCACGTGCCCGCCCTGGGTCACTCCATTCAACTGCCTTCTCCAGGTGACACCCTTGCTGGACGGCTCAGCACTCCTCATGCTAACCCTAGTCAATGCCCTCCTCCCTTTCTCATGGGGACTCTCCCCAGAGTTCATCACTCTCTTGAAACGCAGAATCCTACAGAGACGGCCTTGCGTCCCCCTCCAGGGGAAACGTGGCTGTCTGCCAGAAGTCTCCTGCCTTTCTTACCTCTCTCTATATAAATAGGTTTGTACCTATACAGTCTTGGCTGCTGCAAAAGAAGCAGCGTCTGTCCTTCTCCCTCCAGCCAAGTCCTCCAACAGGCCCTCAACTCTGCCCCCTCGTGTGCTCGCAAGCAGTCATCCTCTCTCCAGGTGTGCTAACCTATGCTCTCCATTTGATCCTTCTCTCATCACACACGCAGTCGCACCCACACACACTCTCCACATACTAACACAGTGACTGGCATACCCTAGGGCTCGTGTACGCATTGTACTAATCAGCAGGCGTGTCCTCCCCACTTCCTCACCTCCCCTGCTGGGCCTTACCTGAGCTTATCTGCCACAAAAATGACCCGACGCTCCAACAGCAGCGAGGCGAAGATGCGGATGAGCTGACGCACGCTGAGGCAGGTAAAGAGGCACTCGAAGTCCACGTGCTCCAGCCGGGAGTCCGTGGGCCGCCGCAGCTCCAACACCTGCAGGAGAGCGGTGGGGGTAGGGGGTCCAGGTCCCACACAAAGCAACCTGAAGCTCGCTTCCCTCCCCAGTCTCTCTCCCGAAGCCTCCACTCTACTGCCCGCTATGCAATAAGACCCAGTCTCCTCCTCCATTCAGACTGCAGCTCTGCTTCCACAGTCCTCAGCCTGCGGGCAGGAGGGCTCACTGCAAACAAGGCGGAGGCTCCAGGAGAAGGGGGTGGCCAGGCTCTGCGGGAGGGAGGAGGACAGCTGACCACTCCTACAAACCAGCAGAGTGAGGGAGTCTCCCCGCACGGTCCTCCCTGACCTTTTGCTTGTCTCAGCCCCATGTGGACGGACCCCCACGATGGATCACGGCTCCCCCATGCGGTTCCGCTCACCCCTCACCAGTCTCTGGAAGGACAATGCTAGTGTCCCTGTTGCTGCGCCCCCTCCCTTTCCCACAAGGAACTGTTTCCTTCCAGAGGCTCTGCCCTGGCCTCTTTTAGTGCGTCTCATCCCCATGCCAGGGACAAGGAAAACACTGGGAAATGGCTGGCTATTCCACAGCCTGGCCAGGAAGAGGCCTTTCTTGATCAGGGCCAGACCTAGCCATCTTCCCTCCAGTGGGGCGGTAAGACCACTCCCAAGGTCGGCGATGTGGCACAGACAGCACTTCCCTGGGGGCAGGCATGAGGGTGGAGGGTGGCGATGACCCTGGCAATGAGAGCAGGGGGAGCTGATGGCGCTCGGGCCAGGCCAAAGCAGCTCTCACCCGGGCCTGCCTGGTCCTCCCTGGTTCCTCAGTGAGGTGGGCGGCATGGACACATAGGCCTCCAGAGAACCAGGGGGGGAAACGAATTCCCTCTCTCAGCCCTGTGGAGTCAGAGCTCTCTCCCTGAAGAGCCACCTCATCCCATTTGTTCCTCCTAACTCCGAGCTCAGTGGTCATCCCTCTGGCCCCAGGGAAGCAGCACAAGGGGCACAGGTTCCCCCGAGGATGTGTCTCTTTTCAGAGGTCTGTTTCCACGCTGTCTCTCCCACCGGATGGTGACGTCCCAGAGTTTCGGCATTAGCAGGATGCACGGGACACTGGAAACGTCAGTGATGTAGGCTGAAGGAATCCCACACCGCCATCACCCCAGAGGCCTCGGCACACCTCCTACTCCTAGCCCTGCCCCAGAGGAAGTCACAGTGAGGCTCCCCTAAGCCTCCCTCCTGAGAGCCTGCATGAAGTTGGCACCCCATGCCTGGTACCCGAGAATCTGGACTCTCCAGGGAGTGAGCATTCACACAGGCAGCTTGGAGGACCTGGGCTTCCTTTCACTCCCCTGCCCCTCAAGGAGATCATAGTCTGGTGGGGCTAAAGGAGCCTGAACGATCAGCCCAGGAGCTTGGTGTCAGGCCATGGGAAAGGTGTAACTTACATCTACACAGGGAGCTGAGAGGGCTGGGAAGAAGGGTAACCATCCCGTCTAGGGTGGGGCAGGGGCAGTGGCTCAGAGCACAGGATGCTTAACTTGGTTGCCCAAGGAGATAAGAAGGCAAAAGGAAGCAGAGTTCACAGATGTGAGAGGAGGCTGTTGAGTGGGCCAGGGCCCTGTCCTGAAAGACTGACTCCCAGGTGCTGCTGTTGGACCCTCGGGGCAGGGTCAGAGGTCCTGCCCCCAGGCTACTTGCATGAAGCAGAAAGTCCATCCAAGAGAGGGAGAACAGATGCCAGAAGGCAGGCCTTGAATAGCACTTGCCACACCCAGCAAACCCAGTGCTTCTCTAGTCAGACCCTCTCCACTGCCTGCGACAACGAATATATTTATTTCTCCCTCTCCTCAAACCCAGCACCTACTGCTCACTCTCAGAGGACGACCTTCTTTCCCATTTGGAGAAAACTGAAGCCGTCAGATGAGAATCCAGGATCTACAAGCTGTGGTCCTTCCCTGCCATCACACCAGAGAGAACCCCCTCTCTCCTGTCTCCCCACGGAGTTCACTGCCCACCCCCAGTCTCACTGTCCCCTCCCTCTGCGGCTGTTTTAATCTCTCACTCCCTCTCTGGGCCATTCCCCCCAGCACCCAGACGACCACCTTCAACAAACTGGCTCCACATTACCGTTCCACCACTGCCCATTCCTCCCCACAGCCAAGCCTCTGGAAAGCTATCTCTGCAGGCCACGTCCCCTTGTCAACTCCATCCACTTTTCAACTCTCTCCACTCGGGCTTCTCGACGCCCTGACCACCTGCGGTTCTGGAATTCTGTCTTGTCAAGGCAGCCCGCCACGCCTGGTCCTGGCCTCACCTCATCACTCCTTCCTTCCTTCCCTGGCTCCCGCTGCTGCTCCTCTACTGCAGGACCTCCAAGTGCCGGAGGCCCTCTGGGCTTCCTCCTCCCCCCTGTCTACACTCTTTGGCACTAAACATCTCCTCGTTGGGGTCTCACAGGCATCTTAAGGGTAATGTGCACAAAATCAACTCTTCCTCCTCACAGACCTGCTCCTCCCTCAGGTGCTCCATTGACTATTCCGCTGCTCAAGCCAGAAAGCTGGGAATCAGCCTTAAAGTCTCCCTAACTCTATTCCCCATTTCCAGCCACTGCAAAGTGCTATTGATCCTGGTTCTAAAGTACATCTCAAATCCATCTTCCTCCTCCATCTTTCCGTACACAACTTAATCCAAGCTCCACTCATCTCTTGCCTATACAACTGCAACAATACCCAAATTGGTCTCCCTGTTTTCACCCCAGTTCACTATTGACATAGCAGCCAGACTGGGCTTTTAAAATCGTATCGCAGATCCTAGAACCCAGCTTGAGATACATTCCAAAACGCTGAATTTGGCCTGCGGTGACTGGGCCCTGCGGTCTCTCCACGCTGCTCACTCCCTTTTTCAACCATCTTGGGCTTCTCCAGTTCCTCGACAAGCATACACACGTTCCCACCTTTTGCCTTTGGGTGCTGTCCCTCTTCCTGGCATAGTCCTTTCCCACCCACATCCTTCTCTTTCAGTCCCCCTGTCCTCACTTCATCCGCTTGACTCCACTCACCCTGGGTCCCTAAGAAAAGGTGACTTCCTCAGAGGAGGCCTCCCCTGGCCCTTAGTCTGAAGGAGATGCCCTGTCACACACTCTCCCTCCTGCCCTGTCACCTGGCACCTGACACTTTGGGGAGTTATCTGCTTCTATGGGCAAGTATTTATTTAACACTGGTCTCTTCCACTTGACCATGAACTCCATAAGCACTCAGCTGTGCCCCTCTTTAACTGTATGACTCTGCCCCGAGTTCCACAGGAACCCTGACTGTGAGACAGCACATATTCCACAAACATCTGATGAGTGAAGAAGAGGCGGCCTGCAGTTTAGTCCAAACAGGTCAGGGAAGGCCCTGAGAGTTGCAGAGAGGTGAGCGCCAATCACAGTTCTGTCACTCACTTTCTCAGTCCTTGTCCGTTGAAAAAGTGAAAGTGAAGTTGCTCAGTCGCGTCTGACTCTTTGCGACCCCCATGGACTGTAGCCTACCAGGCTCCTTCTATGTGATTTTCCAGGCAAGAATACTGGAGTGGATTGCCATTTCCTTCTCCAGGAGCTCTTCCCCACCCAGGGATTGAACCTGGGTCTCCTGCATCGTAGGCAGATGCTTTACTGTCTGAGCCACCAGGGAAGTCCCTGTTGATTAGGTGTACAAATGTGCTGAGCAAGGAAGGGGCCGTGTTCCACACCCTGGAGATAGCCGCCACCCCAGCCTCAGTCCGCGACCTGAGAGAGGAGGCAGCAGAAATCCCTACCTCATTGCCAGCCCCTGGCAGGAAGGTCTTCACTTTGATGGTCTTCCCTGGGGCGGGGAAGGGTGATTCCATGAGACTTCTCATGAAGGGATAGACCAGCGCAGCGGAGATCCCACGCCGGCGCTCCACCTCATCGAGCACCTGTGCCCACCGCCAGCAGCCCAAAGAGGAAGGAGGTCAGGGCGCTGCCCTTCCCTACCTCCTGGGCAGAGAAGAGGGCACTCTGGCATCTGACTGGTCTGGGCCAAAAGCCAGGAGCCGGGAGTTTCACACCCCACCCTTTCTGTGTCCCTGGCCATTGTGAGGGCTGTGCTCCCTAACTATTCCTTGCTTCAGACCCCAAGAGTGAGTAGCTGGGCAAAGGAAACACCTCTTGAGAGTGGAGTTCCTGGGCACTTGGCTTCCCCCAGGGTCTCTGTCCCCGAGGACCCGGCTCGCCCACAGCCCTGAGTGGGATGTGTCATGAGCAGATGCTGCCGTGCAGAAGCTGGTGGACAGGGAGGGAGTCAGACAGCCCGCCTGCACTTGCCCTTGAGTTCTCGCCTTGTCTCACCCTCTCTCACACACACACAGGTGGTTTTCTCATCTAAACCGCCTGTAGATACTCCTGTGGGAGCCGTCAGATGGGGGAAGGGGGCAGGAAGTCAGCCAGAGCCCTCTTACCTTGGAAAACAAGCCGAAGCAGCCAAGGCGGCTGATGACACAGTACACCTCTGGCAACCGAGGCCCTTTCCCACTCGGCTGGGCCGGGACAAGGAGACAGACATAGACACAGAGAACGCGTGGTTACTACTCCTGGCTCCTTTTCCTTAGGATCTGAGGACCAAGCACCTCTCTTCTAGTGAAAATCTCTCTTCTGTACGGAGAGAACCCCAGGCCTCTTCTGAACACCTACTCATCCAGGCCCTCAAAGGAAAGGCGGCCACTCTTTGGGGGTCAGCTTCAGCCTCTTCTGAGCCTTCCAGCCCAAGGTGCCAGGCTCCTGCCCTTCCTCCCAGAGGACCCTGGTGGGAGCTGGCAAAGATGAAGCGGTGTGGCAGAGGCTATAGGGTGATCTGTGGATTTACATCCCCAAGTCCCCAGGAGCCTGGTGGGAAGGACAGGGGCTTGTATACATTCTTAGGGACGAGCCAGATGGTCTTCTGCCCCCACCGGAGACATTCTGCAACACATTCCTTTTCTCAGTTGCACTTCTGTTCCTTTCTGGATCACCCCCATTCTAGAAAAGCAAACTGACACTAGATAAGGGAAGCAAACTACTATTTATTGAATGTTTACCGTATCTGAGTCCTGGGCTTGGAACTTTCCAAAAACTTGTTAGCTAGGAATAATATAGTCCCATTTTGTTGATGAAGAAACTGGGTTCAAAATTAGCGAGCTGTCACCCAAGGTCAGATATTTAGAAGTCACGGAACCAGGAGTCTGTTTCTGCCTCTGTGTGTGTTACTTCTTTGTTGTGTTACCTCTGAAGTAAGCTGCCTTCTGACAGAAAGGAAAGGAAAGAAACAAAAAGATACTGGACAGAGGCACATACGGAGTAGAGGAGAACAGAGTCGTAGGGGGATCTGAAAGGTAGGTAGCTGGAGGAGAGGTGGGCCAAGAGCTCCCCAGGCCTGGAGCCCAGTGCAGGCTGGAGGGAGTCCATAGGAGCCGACTTCTCCAGCCAGTGGCTGGCAGGGCTCTGTGGCTGTTTCTGGCTCGGAGGCCTGGAGGGCCTGGCCAGGCTGGGTTGGGAGGGAGCAGAGCAGCAGGTGCTGGCCCCTCATGAGGCCGCTAAGCAAATGCAGATGGGGCTATTTCAGTCTCCAAACCTGCTGGCCACACGTCACAGATCTAAAGAGAAGGCAGAATCTGTTTTTGTCCATATTAGGCCTGAAACTCACTCCTCTCTTTTTCTCTCTCCCCCGCCTCCCCTAAAACCCCAAGTGATTAAATCAAGTATGTGGGATTTGGGTTAGAATCATTGTGTCCAATCTGTAGGAATGCCGAGCGAGTGCCAGCCCCCTTGGCAGGGGCCCAGCCCAGGCCCTCTCTGAGCACGCCAGGACAAACATGCTCTTCCCTGGGGGCGGTAGGCCCACTGCAAAGGAGCAGTTCTGCTCCATCTCTGCTCCTGCTAAAGCAGCCTTCGGAACGTGCCCCTCCAGGCCCAGATGAACCCGCCTGGCTCCCCACCTGGCCTCTGTACCGCTCCACATTTCCTTGGCCCCACTCATAGGCATTCTATAGCCAAGTATTCCTCTCCCTGGACTACCCCATGGGGTCATCTGGGAGTTCCAGATGACTTGGGGTTTTAGAGCTTAGAGTCAACCTGGCTCTAGCTCTCACTGGCTGTATGACCCTGGGCAAGTCATTCCACATCTGAGTCTCAGTTTCCTAATCTACAGAACAGATACAACAGTGCCTCATGGACTATTATGAGGAATAAAGAAAATGACATGCCTGGAACATAAAACAAATCCCAAATAATAGTTCATTCCCCTTGTCCAACCTTCTACATTGAAAGTCCTACCTCCTCTACTAAAGCACCTAACCCACTCTAGCACTCTCAGTTGCTTAGTCATGTCCAACTATTTGCAACCTCATGGACTATAGCCCACCAGGCTCCTCTGTCCATGGAATTCTCCAGTCAGAATACTGGAGCGGCTTGCCATTTCCTTCTCCAGCGGAATCTTCCCAACCCAGGGATCGAACCCGGTCTTCCCGCATTTCAGGCAGATTCTTTACTGTCTGACCACCAGGGAAGCCCTAAAGCACCTGAAGTTCCTTGAAAATATGATCCAGGTCTAACTCATTTTTATGTACCTTCAACATGTTGCCTAACCTTCAGTAGATGTGTGGTACATGTTTCTGAATGAATGAGCCCGAATCTTCATTTGGGGTCCCTGCTATACACCACCTTTGCCTAAGATCCCCCTCAGCTGCCCCTTCTCCCACTAAGGCCCAGGAACCTTGAAACACTGTCAATAGCCCAAGTCAACATCCCTGGTGAGCCCCAGGGGAGCATGTGACAGGACTCTCTTTACCCCAATCTATTTCCCAGGACTAATGGGAAGACGGATGGGGTAGTGCTTCTCTACAACATGTCTTATGTTTTTAAAACCCTTCCTTTCCCCTTGAGCTCAAGGCATCTCTCCCAGAATCCCATAGAAAGTTACCGCTCTGTCCCTGCTCGGCCTCCAGTCCTACCACCAGATCAAGTACAGGACACACATCAGGTTGGCCAGGGGTCAGGGTGAGGAATGTTGTCCTCCACCCCAGTCTGATGCATACACACATAGTGCTGGGGTGATGTGATCCTGCAACCCAGGATCAACAGTCTGAGCTCAAAAGCCCAAAGAAAATGAATGAAAACAAAAGTATAGAAGAGCTAAACATATGATATCCCAGTAGAAAGTGATCTAACCTCTTCCCTTATTATGGATTATCTCAGATCCTGGGGCCCAATCAAAGTGACCACTTTAAGTCCTGCCATCCCAGGAGTGCTGTGTGTGTGTGTGTGTGTGTGTGTGTACGTGTGTGTGTGTGTGTGTGTGTGTGTGTGTGACAGTGGCCTCAGGGAACATACAAGGCAGCAGAACACAAGAGTTTCTACAAGCTCAAGTTAAAGAAGAGCACATACACATACAAACTCTGTGGCCCAGGCCCTGAGGACTGAATGGCCCTACTTACCAGTAAGCGCCTGCAGTAGCCAAAGCGTCTGCTGCCATCTTCCCCAGTCAACATGAAAGAGAATGTCTCGCTGGAACAGGGAGAAGTCTGGCATCAGGGAAGTACACAGGGCCCAGGAAACAGCCCCTAAGAAGAGGGGCTGCCATCCCAGGGAGGGGGTGAAGGACCAGGCTGCTGCAGGAGAAGACACTGGGACTAGAGTGGGCCCCAGCCAGCCACCCGCTATGACAGGGGTGGAGGAGATTCTGCCAGGTCGGGCCTCACCTGCTGTACTCTGACACAGGGAGCCAGTCCTTGGCATCAGGGAAGCAAAACTGGGGAATGGCCTTGAGCCTCTCCTCTGCCTCCCGCATCTGCTTGGTGGGTCGGTCCAGCTGCAAGGAAGAGGGATATGGGGAGAAACAGATCAGAGAAGACATGGAAGCTGGGGGCGGTGGGGGTAGATGAGAAATATACCCCCCATCCCCAGCCTGGAGAGTCCTAGGTGGTGTTCTACCAACTGGCGTGCTTCTCAGCAGCCTTGACCCCACTCACAATTCTTACAAAGAGGTCTGGGTATGGGATGAGTCATCATTCATTCATTCATTCAATATATGCCAAACAGCACTTTCTATGTGGCACCTGGCACTGTGCCACGTGCTGGGGTACCAAGAGACCACAAAGTGGATGGCATCCCTGTCCCTGTGCGTTCTGGCCAGCAGACTGAGGCGGTCAACAACACAGTCTCAGAGGGGCCACAGAGGAAATAAACAGGGCGATGCGACAGAGATAACTGGGTGCGGGGGGCTGCTTTAAAGCGTCTAGAAAGATCTCCTGGAGGAGGTTCTGTTTGAGCAGAGAATGAGAAAGAGCCAGCAGCCAAATGAAGAGCTGGAAAAAAGAAGATTCCTGGCAAGGACAGAGACAAAGGGCTTGAGTGTTACAGGAAGTGAAAGGAGGCCCTGAGGCTGGGCTGGCTGGGGATGAGCAGGGAAGGAGCAGTAAGAGCTCAGAGAGGTGGGGAAACGGGGAGAGAACGCTGATAGGTAGAAGGTTTCTTTGGGGAGCGATGAAAATGGTCTAAAATTGGTCAGATACCTGTGAATATACTAAATGTTATTGAATGGTATGCTTTAAACAGGTAGATTAAATAGTATCTCTTATTTAATAGATTAAATTGTATCTCAATAAAGTGGTTGAAGTAGAGAAGGAAGACAGAAGTAATGGCAGGGGGCCCTTCCCCAGGACCCTCAAAGTGCTGTATACAACGTGGATCTGATTCTAGCCACACTGGGGGGTGTTCTCTCTGCCCTCATGCTCCGAATACGCGCTGGCCCAAACCCACCACCTCTCCTCCCTCCTGGCTCCAGGGAGCCACACTCAGGGCCGGGGCAGTGAGGTGGTGGCTACGGCAGGGACGAGGTGGGCCAGGCGGAAAGGAGGGAGGGGCCGCACCTTGGGGAACTGGTAGGAGACCTCGGGGAGGTAGGTGCTCCGGGAGGGCTTCTTCTTGAGGGACACCACCACGAAGTACTCGAACAGCTCCCGCTCCTGCCACTCGAGCAGCTCCAGCTCCAGGGTCCGGTAGCTGGGCGCGCGCTTCAGCATGGACTGGATGTGGACCAGGCGCTGTGTGTGGGCTGGGGGCGGGCCACACATCAGGACGAGACCCCGCGTCAGCCCCCATCCCACCTCACACTCAGGGCTGCATCCCAGGGGGTCACCTCTAAGTGTAGGAGCCTAGCCTGACAGCCTGACCCCCCGAGTTCTGGGCGAGACTTGTCTGTCTGTCTGCCCTGACATAGGCAGCTACTGGTCTGGGCCTCCCAGAGCCTCTGGAGGTTGAGGTGGGACCAGTAAGACTGCCTGAGCCAGGCAAACCCAGGGAGGCATCAAGGTACCCACACATCCCTGAACATCCACGAAGCCTTCATCCTAGGGCCCCTAGCAACCTTGGACTTGGACCCCTCCCCCTGTCCCCAGGCCCAAAGTCCACCTGCCCACATGCCTGGGGACGACAGAAGGAGGGAGCTCCCAATATTGATACTTTAATCATCCAGGAAGGTCTAAGCAGGCTTTCTCGGGAGAGAAAGAAGAGAGATTTGTCCAAGGCCCCTGGAATGTGAATGTCCCAGAAACTTTCCAGGAAGGTGGCAGCTCTCCTCTTTAGGGAGAGAGAAGATGAGTGGCCTCAGCGCCTCCCAAGCACCAGGTTCCTCAGACTTCAGTACATTTCTCACAACTAGAAGAGGAACCTGGAACCCACCTCTGACCCTCCAGACTCACAACACTTACCAGGCAAACCTAGATGGACCATGAATGGCTTACAAAAGTAGGGGCAGGGTCACCAGCCTTAAATCTGGAAAAGGGGAGATGTCTGAATTTAAGCTCGCAGGGCCGAGCTCCATGATAGAAGGAGTGGACTTCCCTAGAGCTCCTTGCTCTAGGCCTCGTATCCTGCCTGCCAATGCCCCTCCCAACTGGGCCACTTTGGGACACTGAGACAGCAAAGGCTAACAGATACCATTCCACCAGGGCTGGGGAGGGGGTCCCTGCTCTCTAGGAGCCACGTCTCACCTTTGAACCTGTCGTCAGAGTCGCTCTCGCTCTCACTATTCTCATCTGGAAAAGTCAGAGCAGAGTGCAGGCTGGCTGAGCCGCTGCCCCATAGTAAACATCTTCTGTGCCCGCCCCCCCGAACCCCTCCCTACTCCCCTCCTCACCCCGGGCCTGGCTCATGAGGGATGGACCTCATCTGGGCTCCAATGGGCCCCTGGCCAGGCACTGCGTGGCCCAGGGCCAGTGTCCCTCAGAGCTCAACCTGCAGGTGTTAATCTATACACAAACTCCTATCCATCCAGTCCTGATCTGGGGGAAGCTGAGGGCCGAAGCTGGAGGCTGAGCCAGCAGGGGCCTGTGGGCCTGGAACACAAGGGTCCTGCCTCCAGGAGGCCAAGACTGGAAATGGGACACAGACCACAGTGCTCAGTAAGTCTGGCCTTTCCTTCGGCTGGACACAGATCCCACACCCACCTCCCCCCTATTCAGGCCTCACAGCCCAGAGTCTCAACTAGCCATTCCCAGGACGTGCTTCTCTCTTTGGCCCTCCCCTCCTGTGTGGCCACTTTTTGGCAGGGCTCTGCCCTCCTAGAAAGCAGGCTGGCCCATGGAAGGGTAAACTGAGGCTAATCCTGGCATCTCCCCACTTCTGATGCCCAAGGGCCCCAGGACCCTGAGCCAGCTCGGGTGTCCAGGCCTACCTCTCAGTGATGAGGTCTCGATGCTGGACATAGAGAGCTTTTTTAGCCTCTTCTTTCCCCTCTTGGCACTGTAGATGGAGTTAATTCTTTGCACAAGCTGGGTGAGAAAAGCAGGGAGGGTGAGGTGACCCTAAAGCCATCTGCCCCTGCTCCTAAGAAGGCTGCTGACTGACAGAGGCCATCTGTTCCCCTGCTGGCAGAAGCCTTCTGCCCTCCCTCCAAGGAGGCCCAGTACTTGTCTCTCTGCTGCACTGGCCCCAAGGGCAAGCTGGTAGATGTCTACCTATTTGTCCACTTGGTGGTCTCCTGCCCCCAAGACAAGGCTCCTCACTTAGCTCCCCAGAGGAAGGAACTGTGATCCAACCAGACAGGATGGGAGCTCCTGGGTCTCAGGAGTCACTGAACCATCTGAGACAAAGAGCTGCTCGGAGGCAATAACAGGAACAAGGACTGAACCTTTCCCCTCCGGGCTACCACCTGGGGCCCCGGCAGGAAGGAGCTAAATTCCCAATATACCCGAGCATTGTTTGCAGGCTAAAAATACCACTTGGCTAAATCCTGCTGCTCTGGGCTGGGGATCTGGGCCTGGCTGGCTGCATGTGTGCAAATTGCTCCTGAAAACTCTCAACTCAGAGAGGTACAGAAAGGAAGACCCGCCTTTGAGTCCTAGGTCCCTCACAGCCTGGAGATGTTTCAATGTACATACAGCCTTTGCTTACCCCATGCTCACACTAATGGGGAGCCTCCTAAGGACTGCCTCCATCCAATCCATGGCATGGAGCACTCCCTGGGGGCCAGCGAGCCTGTTTTCCCCTAACATCTGTGCAGCATTAATCACTCGGTGCATCTTTATCGATAAGAAAAGAGAATTAGCCAGATGAAAAAAGAAAAGGCCAGTGCCTAGACCTAAAATTGATTTAAGGAGAATTAAGGAAGCAGGCGCAGATTAGGAAAGGGAGGGAGGGAAAGGAGAAAAGAGCCACGGCCAGCCTGCCCGCCCACCCACCCAGTCCTGGCCGGCTCCACCTGCGGAGGCTACCTTGGGAACGCGACGGGCCCGGCGGCTGGACAGCAGCTCGCTGGTGGTGCTGAGGCTGTCCTCGTTGAGGCTGGAAGGCGAAGACGGCAGGCTCAGCTGAGCCAGCAGGAGCATGTCGTCATGGCTGTGCCTCTTGGGTAACCGTGGCAGCCGGTGGCTCTTCCTTTCCGACCAGTTCCCGCTGCGCAGGGACTGGCTGCCGGGTTTCAGGGAGAGCTGGCACGGGGCGGGGGACAGGGGAGAGGGCCTCAGCATGGATGCCGTGGCCAGCACCTGTCTGCTGGGAGCTGGACACAGGAGCCACAGGCTGGCCTCCCTGACTTTCCCCAAACCCCACCTGGAATTTCCATTGACCAGGGTTTCCTCTTCTAAGACCTCAGCTGCTAATCAGCAGGTCAGGGCAAGATTAGATACTTGCTTCCACAAAGGAAGCTTGACTTCTGCCAGAAAAAAAGAAAGCAGAGACAAAGAAAACTGGGCTGTCATCTGAGTGGGAAAACAAGGCCAAGTGAGAATGCTGTGGGCGCCGTCTGAGCTCTGGGACAAGGCTGACTCTGCTCATTACTGGGTGTGGCTCAGATCTGTGTTCTGCCTCACTCCATCTAGACTGACACCCTTCGCCACAGGGCACCTTACTCTGAGTGGAATCACTGCCTGCTAAAAAGGGAGCAGCTCTGCACACCTGGCATGCCTTCCACCTGCCACCTGCATCTGGCATTGCTGCTCATCACTCTTCAGCAAGTCCTCCTTCCTCCCCCTCCCCCAATTTCCTCTTCCTACCCAATCAGTCGGGAAACACACATTCAGTGGACGTTTGTTTGAACAAAGCACATTAGAAAGGTAAACCTTTTATACAAACAATCATGTCACTCCAAGGCCAGAAGAAGTAATTTTTATATTCTCTGGCCAGTGTTCTAAAATCTCTAGGAGAATCAGCATTGCTTTGGTAGGTCCAAGATAGGATCTCCATCCTCCAGCCTCCTGTCCATCATGGACAAAGCCAGAACAAGCTACAGCCTCAGAGCTCCTTTGCCTCTTCACCTTTCTCCCCATTCTGCCTCCATCAGTCCATTCCTCAGAGATGCATCCATTCAGCCATTTATCCAATGGGAGTGCTTCCAGGTCCTAGAGATACCTGTGTGGCTCTCCAAATCTGGTTCCTGGGCCTATCTCAGGCCCCTAAATGCCAGGGTTAAGATCAGTTCTGCAGAATCTTAAGATGCCAACCCAGGCCCTGTCTTCCTGCTTCCAGGAAGGGGAGGAGAAATCAAGATTAGACAGGAGGCTACAGGGGCTCCTACCTTGGTTTCACAGCTTAGAGTTCTAGTAACGGGAAGAAGGGGGGACTGGGTGCCCCCTAAGAGCACATCTTGACTGTCCACAAGGATGTGGACATGGCAGAGGTCCCTGAACACAGAGCTCTTCCCTGATGTCACCTCTGCCAAGCACTAGTGAGGGAAAAAGCCTGAACAGAAGCTGGCCCTGGCCTCGAGCTGACCTTACAGGCGCGCGTCAGGGCTCCCGTTACCTGAGTGGGTGGGTTGTTGTACTTCCTGTCCTGAGGACTCCACATCCTGTGCAAAGAGTCCAAGGAGTTCTCAGACAGCTGCTGGGGTTTTCGTCCTGCTCTTCGGCTCTTTAAGTCCACATCCTCATATGGATTCTCCTTGGGCAGATCTCCTGCACAGGAGGAAAAGTTAGAGAGGGAAAGAAGGAAATACACACACATACACACACACACACACACAAATAAACAAGCAGAATTCCTGTGAACCAAAGACAGTGGCTTCTGCCTGGCCCTCCAGCTCATGAGTCACACAGCTGCCCGTCTGCAGTGGGAAGGCTACAAACAGAGCCTGGTTCCGAGTCCAGAAGCCGAACCACCCCCCCCCCTCCCCAATTCAGCTCAGCCTTGTCTGGCCTCTGTTTTATAAATTCAGAGATTGCACAAGACTGGCTCAGCCACCCGTGCCTGTGCCCAGCCAGAGGACAAAGCCAACAGCAGGCGTCTTTTCTTGGCTCCAGTCCGTCCTCTGCGAAAGCCCCGGAGATATACAGTTCAAGGCAGGAAAGGCTTTCAGAGGTCATGCAGCTGCCTCTTCACCCCCTGTTCCCTGAGGACCACCTCTGGGCGTGGGTGTGGAGGACTCTGCAAACTCTAGGGAGCCGGGCAGCACCAGGCTGCACCAGACCTGCGTCTCACCAGCTCGCTGAGCAATAGCTCTCTCAGGACATGGCTTTCGTCTGGTCCACTGAGGTAACTGCACCAGAGCAGTGATTAGCAAGCAGTGAGCGCTCAGTATTACTTGTTCAATGAACTGCTCTGACTATAGCGTCACTCCACTTCCTCCACCACGGACCTCAGCAAAAAGACAAAGACAATGGTCATCAATCCCCTTTTGTGATAAACTCTTTCTGCTGGGACACAGGAAGGTGTGAAAGGCCTGAAGGGAGTTTGGGCTGGAGGGGCGGGACTGGGGGAATTCTTGCTTCTCTTCTCAGGACTCATTTCCAACCCCCTGAGCACTACCAGGAAATCACAGAAAATCCAAAAAGCGCCATCTGTTCCTGCCCTTGAAGAGCAACCCCTTCCTACCAGCCCTATCCTCCTGCCAACATACACCTGGACTTCTCTAAACAACAGTAATATCATGAGCAAGCTGAGTCCTGGCTCAGTTATGTGGCAGAAGGACAGTGGTGACAAGGGTCACAGGGACTGTGAGTGAATACAGCCCTCCACTCCCCTTTGTCCTGTCTTCCCCCAGCCTCCGCTCTATACCAACACCACTACTTGGGATGCAGGTGCTACATCTGCATCCTGTAGGATGCAGGTGCTAGTGGCCAGAACACGGTTTTGCTGGAGGTGCAGGGCTCCTCCCGTCTTCTGCTGGAAGAGCAGGGCTCACCCCGTCTTCTCTGTCCAAGCAGCAGGATGAGCCTGGGGGACCAGTGGTGCCTCACAGACACCTGCCTGTGCCTCCCACCATAGAGGAGTTCAGGTACCACTTCTCAGGGAGCAGACAGAAGAAAAAGTGACAGACTCAACACAAGGCCCCTGGGAGTGTGAACTTTCCAAATCCTCTATGCCTTCAGGGTTTTCAATCGCCAAAACCAAGACCTCCACCAGAGCTCATTTTTATCACTATCATGAGAAACCACCATGAGTTTAGGAAATGTCTTTGCCGAGGTGTGGGGGCAGGGGGGCTGTGAAGGGGGGATTTCAGTCACGGCTAATTAGACTGCCATGGGAGCCGTACAGATCTCTGTAAACGAATGAGTCAAAGGCGGGTCAAGGAAGGATTTGGGACTGGATTAAGTGATTCTCAACACCAGGCAGAGTCCCCAGCAACTGCACAGACATTTTCCTGTAACACAGTCATGCCATGAAAATGACTTCTCTCCATTCCAGAGCCCTGACTAAGCAGAGCTGACCCAGCAGCCCTGCCTCAAGAAGCCAAATATGAAACGTGACATCCCTTGCATGTTTTCTATAGCCCACCCCATCGCGGGCACTCAGGGAGGAATCAGGATAGACTCCGTATTTCCTGGTGCCTCGCCAACATAGGTCCTGCAGCGGTGAGACTGAGGGACCAAAGATTGTTGAGTCAGGACACAATCTTCCTTATCCTGTGAGACAGGACAGCGCAGATGGGGGCAGGGAGAACATGTATTCCAGGCTCATCGAATCTAAACTGCTTTGGGCTGGATGACAAGTCAGAGTCCTTATCATCTTCCCCCAGCCTATAGAATGACCCTGTCTCAACTGCTTTAGATCAGAGTTGCTCCAAACTATTGACAGTTGGGGCTGGATAATTCTTGTTGTGGTGGACTGCACTGTGCATTTGTAGGATGTTCAGTAACAACCCTGGCCTCCATCCCCTAGACAGAGGACAGTAGTATCCCCTCAACCAAACAACTAAAAATGTCTCCAGACACTGTCAAATGTCCCCTGGGCAGATAGATGGATAAATGGACGATGAGTCGGACAGATGGATGATGGATGAAAGAAAAGAAGGAAGGAAGGAGAAAAGGAGGAACAAAGGAAAAGTGGATGGATGGATGAGTAGATATGGATGGATGGATGAAACTATACCCCCACCCATGCTTGCCCCATTAAGAATCACTGTTTTAGACAGATGTTCCTAAACTTCCTAATGGCTTTTGAGCGCAATGATGTGAGTCCTGCAGCAAACTCTCTTTTCCTCCCTCCTTCACTCCTCTTCTCTCCCTTCCTTCTTTTCCCTTTGAACATCAATGCAAAAGCCAAAGCTCCAAGAAACAGAAGTAGGAGATGGAGGCCGAGGACAATCACAGATGCATACCAGTGATCATCCGGGAACTGAAAACAGTTGGGAACACCAGGGTCTCAAGCCTGGTATGTTCTGGAAACTACACTTCAGGAAAGCTTCAAATGCCTGCTTCTCCTGCCTGCCCAGCCTAACAGAAAGAAACAGCCTCTTTCTTCTCCAGCAACATTCAAAAGCCTCTCAGATATAACCAGGCCACTAATCATTTCTCCAGGAAATGAGGGTTGGCCCTGGCCCAAGCCCTGCCTCCCCAGGCTTAGCTTGAGCCCTTCACAGCCCCGTTCACCTCTGACACCCCACTTTCTGGACTGTTCTGACAACCCTCCTGGAGCTGCCACACAGAAACCCTCCCAGCCATCGGTCTAGATAGTAAGGGTGACGAGGGCATGGGGATGTACAGAGACCAAGCAGTACCCAAGGCCTAGAGCCAGTCAATCCCAAAGTGATGGCTCAGAGCTGGGAGACCAGGAGGGCTGGGGAATCCAGCTCAGAGCCTCCTTTGTCCTCCGGGACAGAGCCACAGCGAGGCTAAAGAAGGTGGAGCTGAGTGGAGAAACCTGAAGAAGACTCTGCAGGGCCTGGATGGGAGGCGGGAAGCCTGGCAGGCCTGAAGACCTTCACCTGCACTCTTGCCCACACAGCTCCCTTCAGGGCGCTCCAGGCCGCCTTGGGAGAGGGAGAAGAGGTAGGTCCTCCTTCCTGAGGCCTGGCCCGGAGCAGTCTCATCTCATCAAGCCCAGCTGCAGAAGCCAGAGGTCTCACCCTTTCCAGCTTTGCTGATGAGACAAAGGACAGGGACATCGCCAAGAATTTCTGCTTTGCACTTTTTTTTAATAAGGGGCTTGGTCAGAGCCCAAACCTGTCATGGAGATCCTCTTGAAGGAAGAACCCAGTCCCACTGAGCCCTGCCACCATGCTTTCCCACGTCTCCTGTGGTCATTAACCACGGATGCCAAACACTCCAGCCTCCAACACACATACAAGTAGAAGAACCGGTTAGAGAAGGGGTGTCTTTGTCAACACCCTGAGAATTTCTCCAAATCGTAAGCTTCCCAGACCACACCCATGGCGAGGGCCCTGGGTCTGCAGCTTCCCTCCCCAACCTTCTCCCGTGTCCGGCCAGCTGTTTCTCCTGGTTCTTGGCCTCTTCCTCTCCCTTGCACAGAAGAGAGAGAGCCAGATGAAGGGCCCGGCTCCCCGGCAATGCACAGCACAGATGGGGAGCTCTCAGGGGCCAGCCATTCCCTACCCTCCAAGGCTGGACACCATTTCCCAACTACCCGGGCACTGTTCCTTGGATGACACCTCTGGGCGGCAGCCTCTACGCTATTAGGTGCCTCTGATCCTCACTGTCCCCCAGCCTTGGGATGCATGAGAGAAAAAGGCCGAAAGAGCGGACGCTCAAAAAGCTTTGCAGAAAGGCTGACTGGCTCTGTCCCCAGCTCCCACCCCACTCAAGTTCCTGGAAACGCTCCCTCAGCCCCAGCAAGCTGATGGGAGTGGGAATCTCTGCAGGAATGCAGCCCGGGCTCCCTGGTCAGGCGCCGAGGCCACTCCACATAACTCTCTAACAAGCTGCTTCCTTGGGTGCATTTTTGAGTGTCAGGCTCAGAATGCCAATGATTATAAGGCTTTGTGGGACAGCAGCATCTTCCAGAGGCAGATGTCAAATGGGACAGGCGAGAAGGAACAGCCCCCAGAAGCAACACATCAGTCTAACTTTATTTCGGGACCACTCTGTTGCAAATCAGCAGGGTAAATGTCAGCCTGGTTTGGAGTATCCCACCCCAGTTCCCAAGGCATCATGCCGGGTATAGACAGGAGGCTAGCATACTCCCCAGAGCCCTGTGTTCAAGTCCAGGGCTCACAGAGAAGACGCATTAGTCTCTGGGCCAACTGGCACTTGGCCTCTTATAGACCAGGAACTCCAGACCAATGGGCTGGCCCCCAAGATAAAGACTCAGCGTGGGTACTCTCTGCCCACCTCCCACCTCCCCACCACAGCCCCATTATCACACACCCAAAACAAAGCTCTGTCTGTCCCCGAGCAAGGGAGGCGGCACAAACTGGATAATCCAAACCAGAGCACCCTCAGCCTCACCGCGCACAGGCTGGGCCAAGGAGAGAGAGAAGGCTCCCGGGGAGTCAGGCTCTGGTCAGTCCGAGGCAAAAGTGAAAGTGACTCTCAAAGTTCAGCAATGAGGGCCCCCTTCGAAAGCCTCCAGGGGGGTCCAAATTCTTGGACTGTCTCCAGGGAAGGAGAAAGGATAAGTCAACCAGAATCTGAGACAAAGAGACATCCTCCCTTGAATCTCCCTCTGGCCTCCCTGGGCAGGTCTATAAGTTCAGGGGCTACTGTGGTGACAGAAAGGA